CCTGTCCTTCTCTGTAATGGTGTAGAGCTGGTGTCCAGTATTGCTTCAGGGGGTGATGTGAGAAAACACTGTAGTGTAAAAGAACACGATAATCTTATTGAAGAAGCTTGTTTCTAGAAATTTATTTCCCTTAACTGGAAGGACTTCCAGTTTTGTAAGCCCATATGTTTCTTAATTCAGTTCACCTGATGACCAGAGACTTTGCTCTTTGCTTTAAAACAGTTTTTATCAGTTTTAGATCTTCCTTTCCAACTTCACTGTTTTCTGTTCCTGTATTAAATAATACTTTTCAGATTATAATTCATCCAGTTGTCAGCTAATTTAATTTTTTCAGGTTGTATCTGTATATTGTTCATTCTTGAAATGTTTTGGTAATGTAAATATATTTAAATGTGAAACAATAAAAATATACTAGTTTGTGTGCTTCATCTGCTTTTTTTGGTGCAGTCTCACTTCTGCGAGACCATGAGTTTAGGTCAGAAGAAATTGTGATTAGACTTCATCAAGCACTGTCTGCTTTGAGTGTAGGTTAACTGACAGCACATTTTGATATATTAGCGTTTTCTTGAACACTTAATTTTATTTAAAATATAACACCCCTTCACTACTTCAAAAATGACAATGTGTCTAAGTGTGTAAAGCATTTATCTTGTAATTAGAGAAATTGCGGGGGGGAGCTTGTAGTTCAGGTTGTGGTCTTTCTACATTCTACTAGCCCTGGTTAGATAAATGCAGTTATTCAGAATCTAAATCCATGTGCCTGAACATACATCCACCATCCTTCTTCCAGGGACACATTTTAGGAACTTTAGATGCTCTTAAGTAGAGAGATTTTTCGGGTGCCACAGTTCAGTAATCAAACCTTTATACATCAACATTAATGTCTAAATGGAAAAGATTGAGTCAGTAAAATTTTTTTTCATGTGAAAGAAGTATCACTATCACATGCAGGTTTTGGGGAGAATGATTCAAATTTAGCTAGGATTGTTGGTAGTGATGCTTTGTAATATCTCCTGTAAACTACTAGAATATTAAAAGTAAGAATAAATAAAAAAAGTATTTGGGGTGCTGCCACGTCCAGTATATGTCTCTAGGATATCTATTGCACCAAAACATTAGATCCTAAAGGAGTAATACTATCAGTGTTCCACTTGATTAGTAGAAAGAAGCGATGGATCTATTAGACATCTGTCTTATCAATCTTCCTTAGACCTTTGGCCAGCACAAAGTATATCAGTACTGCATCGATCGCAGGTGCTCACACATAGACTCTAAATTATGTGGAAACACCTGTTTTGCTCCTTTATCTCTTTGTCAAGAGTATCAGCTATGCAGGCGAATTTCTTGAACAGTGTTTTGCATTCCACAAAATGCTGTACTCTGTTCAGTAAACTGAGCATCAGGTAGTTTGGTCTATCCCTTCTTTGTCTGCATGAGGTAGGTAGGAACTGAGTGTTTGTACATCTGAGCTAAGACAAACCCAAAAGTTTTTAGAACAAAGTGTTGAGGTTAAAGAGAAGGTAGGTTTGTTTGCCTTTAATTTAAAAAATAAAAAAAAAAAAAAAAAAAAAAAGAAAAAAAGCTGGTATGTGGACCTCACTGGAATGTAGCCTTTGTTCTGATTCTTCAGGTTTCTAAACAAAATTATAGTTTCCTGTTTTCAAGTGTTATTTTTAACCTTAATTTTCAGTGTTCTCACTTACTGCTTAGATCTTTTATGCTAACAGTGTTTATAATCTTTTGATAAGGGATTGGGGGGAATTGTTCACGTAGGAGAAGCTGTGTAGTACATGATTGAGTGGAATGATCAGTCTGATAAATTACAACAACATGGTTGAATTTCTTTTAATGTCTTCGATAAATTTGGCTTTAAGGGATGTGGCTGTGTCTGAATACCTGCTTGCTATTCAGGTACCAAGCTGAATGTTAGCTTGCAATTCCTGCTTGGATGTTCAAATCATTGTGTTTTTTCTGGATTTTTTGTTTGTTTGGGGTTTTTTTGTGGTGTTTTGGAGTGTTTTTTGTTTGGTGTTTTTTTTGTTTGTTTTGTGTTTTTTTTGTTGTTGTTGTTGTTTTCTAATCTAGGATGAAACGGGTGCCTATTTAATAGACAGAGATCCGACCTACTTTGGGCCAGTGCTGAACTATCTCAGACATGGGAAACTGGTTATTAACAAGGACCTAGCTGAGGAAGGTAAGATGTTACTAAATCTCTTGCTTTCTGGTGACTTGCTTATTATTTTCACTGCTTTTGAATCACAAAAACTAACTTACAGGTAGATGGCAAATCTTAATCAGTGTAGCATTTTGATCCGTTTCAAGCAAACCCGATAGGTGTCATGCAGTTGTAGTATATGCTGTTATTTGAGTATGATTCCTGATTTCGCAACCCTTACTGACAGTTAGAAATAGAACATAAATATTCAAACATGAGGTGAGATGCCTTTTATTGTGTAATCTTACATCTTTCTTGTATGACTGTGTGAAATATTTGGGTTTAGTCCTCTATAAGCAAAAGATTACTGGCTGTGAAACAAGCTTTAGAAGATGTAAAGTGAAGTTCTGTGGTGTTCAGATGTGTGGAATATGCTCTTGAAGAGTACATTATGCCCTGAGCCTCTTCCTCCCTGTCTGAAATTCATATCAATGTTACCTGTTCTTTACCTGGTTTAAACCATATAGTAATAAAACTGTATTGATAAGGTATTGAAGAAATCGATCAAAGAGAAGTACAGTCTAACAATATTAGCAGGAATTAATATAATGTACAATTTCCATGTGCATTGTTAAACACAGTGTGTGTGGAGAACAGGTAAGGCCTTGAGCATGTGAGTGGGAGCAGTCCGTAGTATGTATCTTTAAGCTTTTGTTTCAGGGTCTAAGATCTCAAATGACAGGAAGAAAAATTTTCGACACACTAACAGCTGCAGAGCTTTTCAGTAGGACTGTTTGAATTCCTCTTTTGTGTTCCAGCCTGAGGTGGGGCCTGAGCTATGGTGGTCTATCAGTCTGCTATGGAATGGCATTTGTGCTCTTTTTTTTTCTTCTTTGTTACCTGCCTGTCATTCTGTATGTGAAATGGCATTAGTTTTCTGTGGGGTTTTTTTTTTAGGATGGTTTTTCAGAATGAGCTAAACTTTGAACTACATGTGCCTGAAGGAAGCCAGAATCGTTAGGTTGGTAAATTAACTTTTTCTAGGGCAAAATAAATCATTTTGTATAGCTGTAGAGAAGATAATCTTTGGAACTGGTTGGTGGTTTTGGTCTGGAATCTTTGGTTACATTCCCTTTCCAAAAAAATGTTCTCATACTAGGTGTACTTGAAGAGGCTGAATTCTACAATATCACATCACTAATAAAACTGGTAAAGGACAAAATAAGAGAAAGAGACAGCAAAATCTCACAGGTGAGGCTGTTTTCTAGTGTGTTTTTGATTATTTATTGTATAGCAAGTAGTGGGTGGGTTCCATTTTTTCTCTTTAATTGCTCATTTCCCCAGTAAGGTACTGAATGGCTGCCTCCAGCTCTGGCTGAGCTGGAACCATTAGTGTGAAAAGATTAATACTCTTAACTGCCAGTACCTGCCAGTCTGCTTACAAAGGGCACGGGCGTATGGCTCCAGTTCTTGTTCAAAACCTGAAAATGTTCTCAAAAAATTGTTCAAAAATGTCTGGTAATAGCAGAATTTGTCATAATATCGTTTCTATAGTTATTTTAGGAAACAGCTCTGGTAGAATATATTTTTCTCATATACATGTAAATACTCTGAATATGATGAGATTGCTTAGCTACATCATAACTGCTGTTTATACAGTATGTTTATACAGCATACATATAGATGCTGTTTATCTCCTGTCCTATGCTTTTGTAATTAAGTTAGTTTCTAAGAAACTTACAAGTTAGGTAGACCTTCCCTGATAACTGAGTCTTCATGCAGCTATTACAAACTCATGTTGCCAAATTTCTCTTGGAGCCGGGTTGTCGGACAGCAGAGTTGTTCTAATAGCGTTTTCTAAAGGATTTCAACTGAAATGATCCTAGTTGTTAATTGCTCTGGATGGGAAACTTTGACAGAGAAATAAAGACATTTATTCATATGATCAGACATTCCTTGAAGTTAGGTATGCCTCTGCAAAACATCAGCCTCGATTTTTGAATGATGTGGTTTGCTACCACATGGAATGATAGGTAAGTCTTAAGATTATTTTGTTATAACTGTTAAGTAGCACTTTAGTCCCCGAAATATTCATGAAGCATTGAGTCTTCTGCAAGATGATTCTGAACAGATGAGGTTTCTTTTTTTTTTTTTAATAAAGGCAAGGTGTTCAAGGTGATGTTGCTTACCATGCCTAAAGAAAAAGGGCAACTTTAGACAAATAACAAACATAGTGAATTCCATGCTGTACTGAGCATCTTACATTTCTTCTTGAAGGTGCCAGTCAAACATGTGTACAGGGTGCTGCAGTGCCAGGAAGAGGAACTCACTCAAATGGTTTCCACTATGTCCGATGGCTGGAAATTTGAACAGGTAACAAAAACATACGGGATGTAATTACAAAGTTTTCTGAAAATTCAGTTATGTGAAAGAGGAGTATAAAGTCAAATCTATGCATATTTTGAAGTGCTGTCATTTTCAGAAATTGGATAGCTAAAGATGCACCATTAAGTTAAAATTTGGCATTTATATTCTTATTTGTCAGAGAACAAAAAAACTGTAGCTTTCCAGGAGGTAAATTGTGCTGACTTTTCGTTAAAACGTCTACATTGTGTTTGAAATCTAATTCTTTGGTGACTACACACGAGCATTTGAAAGTTGAATAAACCAAAATTAACTAATACAAGTTTATACTTGTCCTAATGGTAGGACAGATATAAAGAGCTCTGGGTAAAAGAGATAAGCTTGGGAAATAAATGTTTGTCAGGCCCAAACAATGGTTCTTCAGATAAAGGACTGATATATATAGGAGGGTGAACTTAACCAGTGTGGATGTGAAGCTGGATAGGTGTGAGCTATGTGAAGGTTTTCATTCTTTGCACTGCATAAAAATACCGTTGTATGTACTTTCAAGAATACTTTGTGAAATTGCTGTATCTTTCTGTTATCATTGCTAATCTCTGTAAATAAGAAACTAACTACATGGCCACTTGATCCTTCACATTGCTAACCTACCAGAATATTTAAACTGCATTGAAGCAAGGAATCTGTTAACTCTGGAGTGAGACACAAGTGCTCAGCCACCAGTGTCTTTTTCAGTGCCTGGTGCCAATTGTAGGAGAGATTGGAGTAAGCACAAGCCTCTTACCCTGTGCAGTCTCACTCTAATAAAGCAACATTTTTAAAAAGTACAGCACACAAAGGTAAAAGAGAACATTTTGTTTGTATTTAATGAAATGTGTAAGGTGCTGATGTCATGGCGACAGCCATGATCAAATAAACTGAACCAGCACAGAGAAAGCTGCTTATGCTTCAGTTCTCTGGCTGAGGTATTACCAGGTGTCTGGCATGCCAGAAGCTGAATGTTGTTGAAGTCCCTGAAAAAAGCTCTCACTTAATGCACACAACTGTTTTTTGACCAGTGCATTGACAAAGGTTTTTTTACATTCTTCTTTGTCATGGGAAACTAGCTTTCATTACAAACAGAGATTCTTTACTTTTTAACAGATTAAATGGTACTATGGCTTTTACTTGTCCTAAAGCCTTTGGGGATATTGTATTTGGGAGTAATACTGCTTTGACAGTGCAACTGCTGAAAGAACTGATATAATCTCTTGTAGAATTTAGGATCTGTTTTAGAACTGGAAAATTCCAGAGGTTTTTTTGAATGTTTTGTCCTTGTTCCATCCAGCTTTCTCCCTACTTCCTCCCACCATCATGTTGCTCTCTCTTGGACGTGTAGTTTGAGGTAGATAAACACAACAGCTGTATGGTCTCATAATACTCAGCTTCTCATTACCTCGGACTAGGCCATTCTCTCCTTTGGTTGTATTGCAGACCTGTTGTTAGCAGACATCATTCACTTGAAACATGATTAGAATATTCTGTATAAGTTAAACAGTTTTATTGTTAAGATTTGAGAACACTCTAGCATTTCTGTAATGTTGTATCTTTTTTAAACTTGTGCTGCTCAGCAGCGTGCTTCTTTCAGAAGCAGTCTTTGGGGTGGTACCTGCCACACTTTGTACACGTTATCACTGGTGGGATAGAAATCATCAGCTTTTTCAGAGGAGTAATAGTCCTATGGCTTGAGAGTCCTTGTGTTCTGTGCCCCATATAACATATTAAAGTGGTTGGTTTTGATCAAAAATATTCCTCTCCCCTTAACATTTCAAAATTTTCTTGTAAAAACTGGATGTGGTGATTAAATAGGAGTGGAAGGTGTTAAACTTCTGATGTACTTAAGCAGATGTATTGATGCGCTTTTCCAAGGAATATGAGTGAAAGCACTGCTCGAATACTACAATTATGTATCAGTCCCAGTCCAAAACCTACTGCCAATAGTTGTGCTGTCCCACTTTTGTGATTTCAGTGGGTTATTTTGTAGATGGTTTTTAGCTTCAGTTGTTACCCTTTTCAGGCAATCAGAAAAAGCAATACTTTTGCAATACTGCATCATGAGAAACTTTGGGCTATACAAAATTCATACATACAAAGGCTTTAGACAGCAGTGGTGTGTCAGTCATGTAAATTTTAATGATTAATGTAACCTGAGTTTGTCACCATAATGCTGTCTTAAATATGTTCACCGTATGAGGAAGATGGTATTTAGCTGCTGCCTTCAAAATTATTCACATAATAGCAGAATAAAAATAAATTTGCTGTTCACAAGCCTGCTCATCAGTAGTAATCTCCAGTTTACTCGGAATAGGCGGTTGTTGTCTGGTTCTTCAAACTTAATTTAAAGGTCTAATCTCTCTCAAGTGCACTGACAGGCTATACTTTAATATAAATGGGCCATGTGTTATTAAGATAAAGTATTTTTTGTAATAGTAAGCTGAGAAATTTAGCTGAGATTGTTCTGAACCTCTGAATTATTAGATGTTTGGCAAGTGTGAACAGAGTTGTTGGTACGGATTTTTATGGGAACAAGACAGACAGTTTTTCCCACTCCAGTTATTTTCTTGGATCCTTTGTAAATTACCTCTTTTAAAAACAATTTAGAGCACTCAACTTTTTTTCCTCTGGTTGACTTCATATGTTTCCTTAGCAGTATTTTGTTTATCAATACCTGGAACAAGATGAAGCTGTTTCATACCAAGGCTTGATGTATTGTTTTAAGTAACACCTTCCAGTCTTATATCCACATTACCTTCTGTACTTGGCAAGTATGACAGGAAAATAATGCTCACTTTCATATTGCACCAAACTTTGTTTATGTTTTTTAGAGTAGTTGGCTACACCAGAGTGATATGGGGAGTTTTCTGACTTACTGTCAGTAACTCCTAACTTCCCTTGAAATCACAAATGGCTTTGCAACTGCCTCCATGAATTTTAAGTGTGTTGAAATGAAAGCTGTAGCTTGATAGCAGCCTGTTCTAGTGACGAGTAAATGTTACCTGAACATTTGAGCTCATCTGTTATTTGTATGATTTGGATAACGGTATGTGCTTCAGCTTCACAAAGGTTTCTTTTTGTTTTTTGCTTTGATTGATTATTTCAGCTTGTCAGTATAGGTTCCCAGTACAGCTGTGGCCGGGCCCAGCAGTCAGAGTATCTGCTGATAGTGTCACGGGAGGTGAAAGGGGAAGAGAGATGCTTCCAGAAATGCTGCAGTGAGGTGTGTCACACCATTCTTTTTGCCCTCACACTGATATGCTTGGCCTCCTTGCGTTTCTGCTGCTTTCAAATCATTCCACTTTATTCCTGGATGTACAGCATATAGTAATTTGTGTGTCTTTGTGACTGGCTTTTATTTATATTCACGGTATTTCATTATACATTGTGAATGTTCATATTGTAAAAATAATGAAACAATCAGACAAACCCCCCGAGTTATTTAGTTAACGGTTTTTCTTAAGAGTTCTTACTTTCTGAATAAGTAACTTCTCCTTAAATCTTCCTCCAAAGTTAACAGCCTTTGAACCATGCTTGTTAAGTAAAAGTGGTACAATTTAAACATTAGGAGCCCTGTAAATAAAGCTTTGAGTTCACTGGTAGAGAACTGGGTAGTTCACTAACACAGACATTTCTGTGTCAGTCATTGTCCCACTTTGAGTGGATTTCATCCGCCTAATAGCCAGCTAAGTTCTGTGTTCGAAGCCTTTATTTCTGGTAACTCAGAACTTAAATGCTTTTTTAGGTGGATGAAATGTATTCCAGCTGGAACAATGAATAACAGAATTTTTCAGGAATAAACTATGGAGGAGTGAGGGGAGAGTGAAACCAGCAGTTTTAAATCTTGTCTCACGTGAAAAGAACATCCTGGGACTGGATTTTTTTGCTTTATTTTTTTGTTGTTCTGGTTTTCTCCCCCCTTGGGAAATTTTCTTGAAACCCAATGAAGAATCATAGCTTCACTCATTGGCTTTTTAGGCTGTCTCATCCTTCCTGAGCCCCTCACCCTCAGGTCACGGCTTTTTTTAACTTCTGCGTTACTTCCCAGTGCTCAAGAGTTTGGGAAGGATTTTTTGCTAACCAGTAACATTGGAGGCAGTTTCCAGTTCTTTACATAGATGTGCTCCATTTTGAATCAATAAAATACTCAGGGTATTTGTTCTTTTCCTTGGTCTATATATGGTTATTCAGTCTGAAAGATCAGTATAACATCATGAAGATAACATGACAGTAAAGTGACTTGATGTGAGCAGAACCTTGCCTGTGAGTTTACATGGACACTTAGCCATGCAATTCTAGATTTAAAACCTGGACTATTGCCTAGCTATGTTCCAGAATCTGCTTTCAGTGTACCAGGCACTATCTGTTTCTTGTGGCTGTGTAGGTAACATTTGGAATGTAGAATTAATGCACTGGGTTTGCAGACTTTCTGGAACAGAGTAGGAGACATGGCCTGTTGTTAAGGCTGTGTAGCGTACAGGCAGCATGATGTTATTCATGTGTCCATATCCTAGATAGCTCAAAGTAAAATTCAACATAATAAAATGGGAGATGAGGGAGGGCAGTGAAGAAATGAAGGCAGGTATAAAATTAAAAAAGAACCCAAAACAACAAAACAAACTGGAAGGGAATGTATTTTCCTTCCTCCTAGATTTGAAGTCTGATAATTGCATTAAGAGACCTGAAATGAATACGCTTGTGGTCCTAGTGTCGGTCATCAGTGCTTAGTTTAACAGCTGATGTGTACGAATCTTTATAGCCTTTTGCAAATCCTTTGAGAAGGCAGTAGAATGAACACATTTTAACTCTAAAAGGCATAGAGGCCCTTCTTATGTTCATGCAACTTAATTATCCAGTAGACTGGATAATCTGAAATCCTTTTACTAGGCATTGCAACATGTGTTTTGCAGACCTCAGATGACTCTGATTTGTTGTGGGTTCCTTTTTTTGCAGGGAGTGAGTGGGGTGGGGGGATGGGAACAGATGGACACGGAGTGGGGAGTTTGACAATTCCTTCCAGTTTATCATCATCCTTTTTAAAGTGTTGCTAATAACACTGGGAACAATGGGGTGACTTTTGGAATACAAGTACTAAAATATTGCTTTATTTCTGATCGTACTTTCTGACACAACAGTTCAGTTCTGATCCACAATCATTTTCCATTGTTCCTTTTTCTGCCATCACCCTTACTGCTGCTGGTGCATCTCAAAAAGCTGTGATGAAGTTTCTAGCATGCCATTGATACTATGCAAATAATACATTCTTAGTTGCACGTGTATGGAACTGCTTACAAGAGTATCATGTGTTGGAGTTTTGAAGAACTTGTGTTTAATGTGCAAAAGTGACTTTATCTTGAAATGCACCAGCTGATTAATAATAGTAAAAAGTCATCCATATGTTTTGCAGTCAGCTAAATCAATAGTCTATCCAACTAGCTGATGAGCAGTCAGTCTGCCACGTCTCCTAAAAAGACTTACATGCAAAAGTCAACTTGGTTGGTGTATGAAGCATTAGTGAGGGATGCAAGCAGCTGTCAAGTGAGGACCTATCAACCTGGTTGAACCAGGATTAATGATTTGGCTGATGTTTGGATCTTGTATCGTATCTGCTGTCAGAGAGGTAATTTGTTTCTTTTGAGTGTCAGTGCGTAAAGGTGTATTTTTCCTTCTGGTAGTTGTTATCATAGCTTATCTGGTATCCAGTTCTTGCTATTTTGCAAGACGAAGAGTTGACTGTATACGGAATCAAATCATACCCTTGAATTTAATTCTTCAAAGTTCTCTTCAGAGATGAATTATGTGTGGCTTTGTTTAAACATGTATTCAACTTTTTGAATGTTTTCTAGCCTTTAAGCGGGTTAAAAATACTGTTTAAAATAATCCTACATTTTACTTCAGTAATTAAAGCGATTACTGTATTTGTATTGTATGGTTTGTAATTGCTTTGTAATGTATAGGAGAAACTTTATACCACTTCAACAGGCTTAAAGCCAACTTAACTGCTTTTTTTCTCTGAAAATTTGTGCATGGTATCTTTGGCTGGTAGGGAAGAGAATCAACAAATCAACTCTATAATAATGAAGTAAGTCTCGGTTGATTTTCCAGCTTATCAGTGGACTTTCTTAGTCCATTTTGTGCAACTAAGCAATTGATTACTTCATGAGGTTTGTGACTATTACACAAAGATGATACGGTGGAGACTGCAGAGTATCCATTGTGAAAGACTGGCTGACTTAATGTCTCAAGATAAATGGTGCCTTTGTATGCCAATGAAGATGTATTGGTACTTCTAAAAAAACTGGGGTTTGTAACTGCATTATGTGGTTTTGGTGGGAAAAAAAGTCTCTATCACATTCATTTTTGATCAGCCTGTGTTCATTACTGACTATGTATGTATTTTGCAGAACTAGAGTGGTGTTAGGAGTGGAGGAGGGAGAGAAAGGTTTCTGGTGATTCCATCCAGACAGTGTAGTTAAAGTAGGGTAGTTTGAGTGTACTAAATTTTCGTTGTCGGTACTGTTCATTGGAGGTTGAGCCCTGTATGCTGTAATACAGTCAGGGTCCAAAAACTTTGACATTGTCTAGGCCTGGCATCAAGTTGGTTCATTGTGCAGACATACTACCCACTGCTCTTTATAGACATTGGGTCTGTGTGTCTATAGAGGTGCTTGCTTGGCTGTTTTACCACAGTGCTGGAACATCTGAGCATCTCTCTTCTCCCTCTCCTTAAAAGTACAATGAGGCTTTATTTTCTCCTGATAGTGCTATATGGAAGCTGCTTTTAACCTTGGTCTACCTTCCACTTTTGTTGGGGGAATAATCTTATCCCTTAAGTACAGATTCTGGACCAAGATTTCATCTTGGCTGCATCTTCCCTTCTTTTAACAAGGCTTTCACTCTCTTTGGTGCTCTACTAGACTAACAGCATTACACAGTTTGGTTTTAGACAGATAACTACAGTGTTTCAGGTGCTGTTGCCCTAAAAACAAGTCAAGCTTTTTCTATGGGACTGTTACCAGGGCGCTTTAATGATATCATAGAGACCGACGGGTAGGACTGCCTTATCACGTCTGTGGTGATTTGGTAGGCAAATTGAATATAATTTTGGTAATGACATTTAGATACAGTGTATCTGTGCAACAGGTTGATTTTTAGGACTTTGATCTGTGTCAGTAGTAATAGCACCATACATTATCTTGTCGTGGTTTTGAAATAAACCTTTAAAATAAATGAACCAGCTACATCTGAATTGTTTCTGGCTTAGGAAAGGCAGGCTGTGTAAAGCTTCTAGCATTAGGTAAGTGTACTGTGTGTAAGGTAAGACAAGTTACATGAAATTTCTGCCATTTGATGAATGTGCTGCATACAAGGTAGTACTGATGTTGAGTGTATCCTTCTTTCTCAGCAAATTGCCATTTATCCTTCAGTATTGAGACTTGCAGAAGCTTGTAAATACGTCACATTGTTATACACAGCTTCCGCTTGTAGCACTTCCTGAATTAACTTCTTTGTAGCAGTACATATAAATTTCAGATGTTATTCTTGGTGTCCCACCATGCTGTGTCTTGCTGTTTTCCAGTCAAATGCAAATTTTGTGTTTGTCCACTCAAAATATGTTTTAATAGAAGTACCATTATTCTGTAAGTAAAGTGGTGGGTACCCCTTCAGGTTAAAGTGCTTCCTCCATGCAGCCATTTACACATTAGATCATGCCACATTAACATACCACAGACAAACTTTTTAAATATTAACTTTGGAGGATGGGAAGGTTTTCAGTAAATAACAGAAACAGGGAACAGGCTACTTGTCCACCAGCCTACCTCTGTATCCTTTTCTTTCACAGTAAAGTCATAACCATAAATCATTAATTCTGTAAATGTTTAAAAAGAAAAGCTATGTTTATCTTATCATCAGAGTGTCAGTGTATTTGTCAACATCAAAATGTATTTGCATTGAAGTTGAGAATCATGCTTCAGGCACAACGAATGGTCTGAAGAGTGAGAAGTATTTGCACTAATGATCTGAATTTATGGAATTTGTTTTATGTAGAATAGCAATAAATCATTAATTCTGTAAATGTTTAAAAAGAAAAGCTATGTTTATCTTATCATCAGAGTGTCAGTGTATTTGTCAACATCAAAATGTATTTGCATTGAAGTTGAGAATCATGCTTCAGGCACAACGAATGGTCTGAAGAGTGAGAAGTATTTGCACTAATGATCTGAATTTATGGAATTTGTTTTATGTAGAATTTCAAGTGACTTTTTTTTTTTCCAGCTGGTCAGTATTGGTTCTTCCTATAACTATGGCAATGAAGATCAGGCTGAATTTCTGTGTGTTGTCTCAAAGGAATTGCATAACACTCCCTATGGCACAACCAGTGAACCCAGTGAAAAAGCAAAGGTAAGTTACTAGACATTGGACTGAAGAAATGGTGTCAGATTGGTTGTAATAGTTACCTGTCCATCGTATGAGAGACTGTAAATGGTATTTTCAGCATGCATTTGTTATACCAAATGGATTCTTTAAATGCAATGCTCTGTACTGTTCCTGATACTTGTCCTGGTTTTTCGAGTATTGGCAGATACTTGCTGTTTGCAGTTGAGAATCTAGGATTTCTTTCTTACACATCTGAATGCTTCCTTGTTCTGCCACTGGTTCAGTTGAAAACTGTTTTTCTTCCTTGAGTTCAGTCGAAGAAATCTTACTGTCAAGAATGAAGATTGTAATATGCTGTCTCTGACAAACAGTCATGTGCAATATGTTATAAAGTTAAGGTATTTGTTAGCTTAATATTTTCATGTTTCTACCTAGTTCTCTTTACTTTCTGTAACCAGCTTTACAAAAAGATTGTAACGGGCACAATGTCTTAGCATTTTACTCAGTTGCCTTGCAGAGTTTGTACAAGGGAAAATGTAAAAAACACAACTGAATAGTAACAAGGCAGACCAGTTATGTATGTAACTATTCTTCTCTTCTATGCGTATTGAACAGTTTTTATCATTGTGTTGTTGCTTTGTATGAAGAGATGACTGCAGATAAACTGGATACTTCTGTAGTTGGCTTAAAAGCTTTTCATTTAGCATATGTAGATGGGAAACAATTGGTAAAACATCAAAGGTTGCTTTTTCAAGAATCACCTTCAAAGAAATTAATTTTGAAATAATACTAAGAATTGATCTGAGTCTTGGCACTGAGGCCTCAAATAGAGCCTTCACTACTTTCTGTGTCTTGTAACTAGGTTATGCAGCTACACATATGGAGACATTATTGTAGATTGCACTCTCAAAATACTCCAAGCTCTATGTTGGATTCTTAGTGAAATGATTTATTTATGCTCTTTTGTCACTGTTGAGATAAAAATTCCAAGGAGTTGTAAGGGATTAATGTAGTCAAGGGTAAATAGTTGTTATAGTTTGGCTGTGGCCGACAACAAAAGGGCCACACGGCTGCTCTGCTGCCCCTCCCCCCGCTGGGGTGCGGAGGAGAATGGAAAGAAAAACAGGCAAAAACTGGTGGGTCAGGATAAGGGCAGTTTAGCGGAACAGTAACAACAACGATACAGATAAGGAGAATACACAACACAAAATAGCAGAACGCAGAGAGCAACTCTCTCCCCCCATAGCTGTGCGCTCCCGAGCAGTGACTGCCTTCACGCTGCCCAGCTCCTCCCAACCAGAAACCAGCATGAGGGCACATGGTATGGAGTACCCTGCTCTGTTTGGCCGGGTTGGGTCAGCCCACCTGGCTGTGTTCCCTCCTGGCTTCTGATGAAAAGACTCTTTCCAAAACCCTAGTCAAGGTCTGCTTTTGCCAGGATGCTTCAGAAAAACCTTAAAAGTTGACAAGTTAAAGATGTGTGTGGTAATAATTTAGGTCTGAGATATGTACCTGAAATAAAACATGGAATTCTAGAACCCAATAGACATCTTCACAAAGAATGGTAGTACATTTTCAGGGAACTTCAGAAAATGCCAGTTACATTGCATCCTTAATGAAAAAGAAAATACGGATCAAATGAAACTATTAAACCCTAAGTACAAAAGCTAGTTGAGAGCACAATACAACTCTGTAAATTCAGTAGCTCTAAGAGAAGCTAAATCTTAGACCTCTCCATTGAAATGCTTCTGGTCAGTGTTTCGGAGAAAAGAACAAAGCATTATTTGACCAGGGTGATGAATAAGAATTCCTATTAATTTTGTTTGGAGATAGCAACATTCACTCATTTTGTCCTGGAAGAGTTGAGCTGTTGCTAGCAACTAATGGCAATACTTGAAAGTATTTTTTTAATATATTATGATTCTAATAGATCGGGGTTTTTTTATAGCTATATGTTGTGCCTGAAAAAACAAAGAAAAAACAAAAAAATTTCTTTTTGGTGGAAAGGTTTCTGAGAGCCATGTTCAGGAATCCTGACTGGACCTTGGGAGCTGTCGTCTCAGAAGTTCCTTCGTAGCCGGTGTTAATTCTCCAGTCTGCAAGCTGTTCATTAGTGTCTGAGTAGACATGAGAAAGTCTTCCTATTACTTTTACAGCAGGTTGGATTAGAGCAAACAAAAAACGGCCAGTGTGTAATTTTTGTTGACGAACGCTTTAATTTTAATTAAGAGTACTGGACTTTCAGAATAGGAAAAAGCGTTTTCTCATAGCCCATCTAATCAAGCTTCACCTTCATTCCTTCTTAGAGACTTTTTTTCTTGTGTTTTCTGTTTTTGGAGAACAGTTTGCATAGTAAGTTAGTAGTGGACTTCCATGTAACTTTCTAATACACCTAAGCAAAGGAAATTAACAGCATTTGGGACATTGACTTTAATGGTTCCAGTACCTTTTACTGGTAGCCATGGCACTACTGCAAGATAACCTGTATTCCCACGAGCATTCTTCTCTTTCATACCACTTTATTGACCTGTCACTCTTGGGACAAATGATCAAAGCTTGTTCATAACATCTGCATCCAGAGTTAGATTCTCAAGTGCTGTCCTTTCCCATCTGTGGCAAAGAGTGCACGGAATTAAGGTACCAACTTTATCATTTTATTTAAATTTTCTCTATACTTATGGTCCCTGTTGATATGGTACATGGCACTATTGGCTTCTATCTGATGACTTTACGATGCTTGAAAAAGGAAGTTTTCATGAACTCTGTAACGTTCATCCTTGAAATTGTCTGCTGTCATCTTTTCTTCAAAGAGCAGGGATCCCAGATAAAAGTAAATAAATGTTGTTCCCCAATGCTTCAAGTGTAAGTGGACTGTACTTTGTTGCAGCTCTGACTCACTTGCAATCTCTTCTTTTCCCTTCCTTTCTCTATACTTGCTGCATGCTGCATGCCACTCAGAGTGAGGATGAAGAAACGGATTACGATATGAATGACTCAGATTAAGTGTAAATGTCATGGTGAGCAGTAGCTGCCCTAGGATTTTACCCAGATGCTTTTCTGCCCCATCCAATCCCTACCCCCACTAGTGCTGTCCTTTGGCTAGTCCTGCTGGTGTGTGTGTTTGTGATTATAGTTGTGGCATAGTTAGCAAAGATAGAATTCCTGTTCTGGATATTGCTGCTTTGACAGAATAATTACTGTTGCTGTTATAAGCTGTGTTGTGATTGGTTCCTTTCAAGCTTTGCTGGGAAGAAAAGTTCTTCATGTAGATTCTAGGGTCAGAATTGCTTTTCATTTTTATTATCCGTGCACCAATTTTTCTGTCAATTTTTTTTTTTACATGTAGAGGCATCTAATACAAACTTGTAGTATACATTTTCAGTAAATGTCTGATTTGGCAATAAATTAGGAAACTTGACTGAAGTGCACGGTAGTCAAAAGATGGTCCTATCTGATAATTTTGAAAGTAGTAATTTTGAATCAAGACCTGGCAAATGTAAGTAAATATTGTGATCTCAGTGCTACAGTTATATTTATCACAGGAAACAACTCGCTCCAGAGAGGGATCAGGTCCTTTCCACTGTAGTTTAAAGGTACGTCAGAAGTCACAAGTGGAAGAACACAGAAGTTACATCAGAAAGAACAACTTTTGCAACTTTTTCGTGGTGTGCCTGCAAGCACTGCTCATATTTACTCTGCTGTCGAATTTCTGGAAGATAACTTATCATTGAATGTTCAGTGATAATGGTGTGCAGGTGATCACTTGAGCCTGTATAAATTGAAGATACCATTGCACGAGGCTGAACTCCAGCTTCTCACCTATACACCTAAACTTTTTAGCTGTAAAGCAGCCCTATACTTATTTCTGAAGTGTTGCTTCCGCATGGCTGAAGAAGAACCCATGTTATTTTCTTAACTGATGCTAACAGAAACTACTGTTGAGGTAGAATAAGGTCTTTTGCCAAGTCTTCAGGAATGGCTACAAGGAATGGATCAAATCTGAAGGTTCGTTGAAAAAAAAATGGCACTCTGTTGGAATTAAATGCAAGATTCTTACGTTGCCTAGAGACCCAACAGTCATTAAAACACTATTCTATCTGCAGTAGATTTATTGTGAGTGAGAGGAAATAGTTCTCACGTTCTGCTTCCCTAAGAAGCCATCGTGCTTAGGCCACTAGGGTATGAGAGTTCATTCAGCGTTGTTTAGAGTTTGTAAGTCAACTTTGGATCTGGCGCACCTGGAGGAAAAACAGAACAGAAACATGAAAGAAAATTCTGAACACAGCAGATCTGCACCAGGATTGGGGTAGTTCCCAGTATCAGTACAGACTGGGTGATGAATGGCTTGAGAGCAGCGCTGCAAAGGAGCACTTGGGGATACTGGTGGGTGAAAGAATGGATATGAGCCAGCAATGTACACTTAAAAGACAATTATCCAGGGGTGCATCAAAAGAAATGTGACCAGCAGGTTGAGGGAAGTGGTTCTGCCCCTCTGCTCTCATGAGACCCCACCTGGAGCGCTGCGTCCAGCTCTGGGGTTCCCAGTACGAGAAAGACATGAACCTGTTGGAGTGGGTCCAGAGGAGGGACATGAAAATGGTCTGAGGGCTGGAACACAGAATCACAGAATGGCAGGGGTTGGAAGGGACCTCTGTGGGTCATCTAGTCCAACCCTCCTGCCGAAGCAGGGTCACCTACAGTAGGCTGTAGAGGACCTTGTCCAGGCGAGTCTTGAATATCTCCAGAGAAGGAGACTCCACAACCTCCCTGG